CATAAGAAATGCGAAAAACTGACAGGGAATCTATGTGGATTGAATCAAAAACTAGTCGCTGAAGCATTGCAAGCTTTGAAGAGAAGTGAGTAATGATCTGAGTACCTCTCGTATTAATTATTTAATTGCAACATATCGATAAACATAGTTCTACTAAAGTAAACAATATTTTGTGGTTGATTTTTAGCTGATTTCACAAACATGAATATGAAATATAAATACTAATTATGTAAATAATTTTTTAACTGTCAGATCTATTTTTAAGAAATATTTTACTGCTACGTGGTTAGTAATTGATTTATAAAAACGAATTAATAAGGTAATCAAAATCATAAGAAATTCTTTTGATCGTAATGAAGAAACTATCATATTTTATATACGTATGTATATGCAAATCATATAACAAACGCGCACATACACGTATATGTGTAATACAAATATCGCTTATATAATATATTAGGTGTAGTAAAAAGAAATCCATTATTTTTCTAATAGATGGCTTTAGTAATCTGTATCACGCGTAGACGAGATACAGATTACTAAAGCCATCTATTAGAAAAATAATGGATTTCTTTTTACTACACCTAATATTTCATCTATTTTTAATATATTTGTCCGTATTCTCGTATTTGTTGCACTGAAAAGTTAAAATTAATTATTCTTGTCTGTCTAACAAATTGCATGAATCGGAGAAAACATATGCTTATATTCCAATAAATGTATTCCAACAATGAAACGTTTAATTTTACATTTAAATCGATTTGCTGATTATGATTTATTTTTAGCTCCTTCACAGTCGTCAGATAATCAACGAAACTCAGATTCTTTGGATCATTTTTCGAGTGGCCGAATAACACCACCGGCGACGAATTTGCCCAGATTCAAGAAATATACTATAATGGATTTTAATTTTCTCAAAGTAAGTATAAGTCAAAGATCTTGTTAACATTTTCCTTAGTGATGAAATGTATCTGATTTATTCAGAGTGAAATCTACATGCTATTTTTATGCAAATGGTTGACTTTAATTTAAAATATATATCTTTTATACATGTACTTGTGTTTTCATTTGTCGTTATGCGCGTCATGCATATCTATTCCAGATAGCAAAATATTAGCAGGATGTCGACAGACTGATAGCAGATTTAATCAGAAGATGTTAGCAAACTGACCACAACTGATGTTGCATTCTGCTTCTGTTCTGCTGATAGAACCTGTTCTATGCAAACAGACTGATAGCAGAAATCAAACAGAATCTGTTGATAGAATCTGATAGCAGATTGCGAGCAGAAACCGAGCAGAGTCTGCTGACATAATTTGACAGCAGATTGGCAGCAGAAACCGAGCAAAATCTGTCAGTTTCATTCTACCTAATTTCTTATAAGAAATTTTACATACATACATATAAACGATTATATATGTATAATTATACATATCTAATTATATATTTATATGTATATATTGATGTGAAAACTGGAAACAATCAATACAGTTTTATTGCTTAAAGTATTATTAGCTTCATATTTCAAAATACACATGAGAAAGTTATAAACTAATCAAAAAAATATTCGGAAATTCAGAAACACTCCGAAGAACTTGGGAATCTTTAGATTTGCTTATTCGATTTATATACGCCAATTCTTATAGGACTCCGGGACGTTTTCTTCTTACGAGAAACAAATCCATCTCATGGCGAACCGTATAAAATGACAGATCTTGCTCGGTTTCTGCTACCAATCTGCAATCAGATTATGCAACAGACTCTAAAGATTGTGCAATAGATAGTTAAAGATATTAAAGAAATATTAATATGCTACATTAATAAATAATATCAAAATATTACAGTAATATTGTTGCAATATAACATCCTAAGTAGTGAGGAAACTTCAAATGAGATTTCAGTGAAAAACGTTATTAAGATATCACACACAATTATAGGTATACGCATACTGGGTAAAATGCAGCTATGGAATTATTTTAAAATTAACATTACTCCGATATAAAGTAAATATTAATATTTCTAATTGATACAATATATTACAGTTATTTATGCATATGGTCTTTTATACAATACAATTGTATGTAATAGTGACAAAGTGATAAATTTAATCTTATTCCGAATTTTATAAGCTTTTGCGCATATGTTTTGACAAAATCATAATTCTAAACATCAATGTTTGGTTCAAAGACATAAAGAATGGATTTTGCCCGTCGCGCGATTTGTGTGTCAAAATGGTCGATAAAAAAGTAAGAGAGGAGGGATCGTGGAAGATAGCCAATCTCTGTCACTTTCCATTCAAAGGTATAAGGGGAGAAGATGAGATGGAGATTGATCGTCTTCCATGATTCCTCATTATTGTCAATACATTTCTCATTTGAATACTACTTACAATTAGATACAGATCGCGCAATCTATTCTCTACATCTTTGCCATGATTTAATATTTAATATTTAATTATTTCACAACTATTCCAACATGTTATGATTCCCATAGTGTAAGTGAACACATTTATATCTAGTATCGTAAAGTGGGGAGCACAGACTCTTGCATAACGCATAACACATGAAGCATAAGAAATTGAACTAATCAGATTTTTCTTTATTTCATAGAAAGGAAGGAAATGAAGGCTTTCGATTAGTACATTTTCTTATGCATTACGTGTTATGCGGTATGTGCTCTCCGCTTAAACCGGAGTTACTTTGCCGCTAGAGTTTAACCATATACATAATCACGATATAAGTAAGAACAGTAGTTTCACTCTATGTCGGCACCTTTGATCTGATGCAAACGACCCCAATGTTGTAAATGTGCCTGAGTAGCATCGACATATAGAATGGATCATAATGACAGTGGCAGGGATAGAAAGACGAATAGAGTGAGAAGCAGATAAATGAATGAACTTCTTTCTCTGTTTACTAAAGCCTGATTGATAATTACTGCCGGATCAACAGTATAGACATAGTATCTCTAGACCGAGCATTCAAGGAGTGAGGGAAGCCTTTCTTTAGAAAAAGACACATTCATTTGGCCTACGGCGTTTTCTTTCGTTTCGCACTTGCATATAAAATGTACCTCTGAAAGAGGGGATCGAAAGCACGAAGAAGCTCGGTGAGCTAATCTGGCTAATAAAAATTCCGAGACATGTCTGTCTCGGTTTGCGATTGTCGTGAAACTCTCACAGAACATATACGAGACTCTCTTCGCTAACCTGACTGTAAGCTGTTACATTTAAATTCCTTGTTTTCTTTTTCGACCTCCCTCTTTCAGAGACACATTTTATACGCACGAAACGAGAGAGAACGCACGTGGACCAAATGAGTGTGTCCTTTCCTAAATGAGGGCATCCCCACTCCCCAAATTTTTGACAATGTTCGGTCTAGAGATATTACGTCTATGATCAACAGCAACTCACCACTGCTATTGATAGTCCATTCTATTGTATATGTTGATGATGAGCACCTATAAGAGCGAAGAATCTTAGAAAATAAAAAAACTGATTGGTACGCCATATTGAAAATTGTGCAGAACGTCGCTACTATTTTTGGCTGAATGAAACTACTATTCTTACCTATACTGTCGTGCAGTAGCATAAATCGCTGTCGATACCTTTAATGTCAGTGTATATAAAACTGAACTGCATGTATATGAGTTATAAGGAGGTAATCAATCATATACCTAGTTTACATCGTACACTTGATAATGTATTAACTAATAACTTTCTATTAAATTATTTTAATTTCAGTGATGTATTTAAAGAATGATGTATTAAATTGATACAGTATGCGTCAAAATGATTAATTAAAAACAAATATCGTACATACATATGTTTACAAGTACCGCCGAAATTAAAATAATTTAATAGAAAGTTAGTACGTTATCAAGTGCACGATGTAAACTAGGCAAATGCTCCGTCCAGTACTAGTCGATGTACTAGACTGCACTAAAACTTTCTATCTCGCTTTCACTAAACATCAAAATTATACAATAAGTTTAAGTCACCGACTAAAAATAATAGATTTTTTTCTATGGTTTTCGAAGCGCAGCCTACTCACCGTGCGATTGGTTTTTACTTACGGATCCATAAGTAAGAACCAATGCTTCGGTGAGCAGACTGCATTCCAAAACCCATTAAAAAAAAGTGTTACAATCTTTTAGGCCAATATTACATGTATTCGTTTTTTGCCGTATAACAAATTTTTAAAGCCTGTCGATTAGCTGTGAGACAAACAGGTCCGAGATCCTCAGTCTTGCAGCAATTAATACACTTGAAAAATTCATCCTACAACAAAAAACGGTAATATTGGCCCTAATTGATGAGTGTACTTAATTCTAGTATGGTAATCATGGATTCAATATATTCTATGTGATTTTTTATATTTTACTATAACTTTTTTATAATATAATTTGAAGACCCGGATTGAGGCTGAAAAAAAAACTTTAACTGTCCATAAATATAATAAGCCTGCAAGAGTTTTTTTGCTTTATTCTCGATGTGAGAATGCACGAAATTTCAAAGAGGATACTTGAGACGCACATGTGATCAGCTTGTAAGTTTTCGGCGTGCTGGGTATCTCTTTATTTTTTATTAAATATACGTTTACTAAATTTCGGATAGCGTAAAAGTAAGTACACAAAAATGTAGAACTAAAAAAAATTATTACTTTAAATACGAAGCGCCACTATGATCTGAATGTTAAGATGTTGAATTATTATATATATTTATTTAAATGAATTAATTAAAGAAATTATTAATTGCGTGCCGATATGGTTATTAGACTTTCAACGAAATCAATCTGAAATATTAATAATCCCCTCAAATTTCCCAAATTTAATCTTAAAAAACTACCTATAATAAACTTATTGCAATATGTTATACTTTTTTTAGCGATTCATATCGTACTATTTTTTTTTTGGTTAAGGGGGGAAACCACAGTAGAGCACGAAAAAGTAAGTATATTTTCGAGAATTTTTTTTGGCTCAATGAAATGATCAATCAAAAATTTGTAAAATAAGCATTATAATATTATGAATGAAGTACAAATAAGAATTTTTTCATACATTTTTGGTATAAAATGGCGGCTGTGCCGCACTTGTCCGATGGCGCCTATTTTTGAAGGAGGGACCATGGGCGGATATCTAGAGTCCTCAATTTTTGACCTGGAACAAAAAATGACAGTTTTTTAGGTTCTATATATCAATAGCTATATAGGAAGTACGTAGGATTTTTTCGATATATTAATTTTTCGCAAAATGGTGCACGTTTTAAGGAAAACTTGCAAATTTAACAAAAAAAAACGCCATAAAATTATTGATAAAAAAACCATGTAATATAAAAAAAACCCTACGCACTTCCATAGAGAAAGGTATTCTGAATATACTGTCAAAATTTGAAACCGATCGGTAAAGATTTATTCGAGTTATGTGTCCGCCCAGTTTAAAAAAAGTGATTTCGAGAAAAACGCATTTAAAGTTTTAAGTACTGTAAAATCATATAATATTTTTATATACCTCTAATCTGCGATGCCTGCGCCATACAATTGGCCTTCTTCATCTATCTCCTGCTCTTGTTTGGTCTTTCGAATTGTTTTCAGATCGATGCGGGCCTGTTTTGCGCTCACTCAAAGATCGTTCCGCTTTCTGTATGCGTTTCTCATCCAAGTCCATGCATAGTTCGTGACTTTTTGGACCAATTTTCATGCCCATGACCTGGATTATATGTAAAATTGATATTAATCCGTCATTAAAAACTTTTCTCCAGTCGGGCAATCGTCGTGTTGGGGATGGTTATCCGTAGATATTTTGTGAAGTAATGTGGCCCATATAGCTGTCTTCATTTTTTCGACTGATTCGCAATTTCTACGAATAGCTAACTCGAAATATATTGACAGTTCGTCGATCAGTTTGCCTGTCAATTTCCCTTTTCTTCCCAAGCCTTTTGTGCGTTTCTTCAAATTACGGAGGTGGGTGCCCATGCGTTTTTGTACGTGATCTACGCATTCCTTTTTAGTTATCGTTTATTTTCGGAGGGAAGTTCCTTCTCCATCGCCATTATACCTGCTCCCGTACTCATAAATTACAGCGCGCGCCGGAATCACAAAAGGCGCTCGGAGCATACCTGAGAGGCGTTGCTGCAGAATGGAAAATTTGGGTATTCCGAAATTTTTGCGGCACTCCATCTTTTGGTATGTTATTCTTAAGACCCTAAAGCACCTTATAAGCGAAAAAAAATTTTTTCGATTTTTTCAAACTTTTACTGTGGTTTCTCCCCTTAATCCAAAGGGTCAACTAAAAAAATTCTACAGGTTTTTATTTGAACATTAAATTTAAAAATTTGAGAATTTTTTATCCAAAGTAGTTATTTTTGCGAATTTTTCCAATATAATTTCTTTAAAGCATTGTAAATAATTGAAAATAAAATATTATTTATTTGATTCATATTTTTACCTGTTTTTGTCTGACTTCGAGGTATAAATTTCACACGTTTTGAGCTAAAAAATATGTATTCAGTCCAGAGATATATTGCATGACAAAATTGCAGGGTTTCACAAATCCTAGTGTTAGCGAGAAAGTAACCAAAAATAATAATACCATACTAACGTAGGGTACGTAACGTAAGGTTAAAATGAAATAGATATTATACAATACAATAATTTTGACATTTAGTGAAAGCGAAATAGAAAGTTTTAGAAAGTGCAGTATAGTGCTACGAAGAGCAGGTTTATAATTGATTATCTCGCTTAACTCGCGCATGTGCAGTTCAGTTCGAATATGTTGACATAAAAAATATCGACAGCGAGTTGCGCTACTGAGTATATAATAAATGTACACTTTAGTTGAGCTACAAAAGAATAGATCTTGGGTCGATTATTTTAAAATGAGCGAAAATTACAAAACTGAGCGAATTTATCAAGTTGATTTATCAATGAAATTATAAATATGCTAGTAAATATTTGCTCATTTTTGTAATTTTCATTTTTCAAGATACACAATCGATCTCCTTATTTCATACTAGTCTTCTACTATTTCATTTTCTTTCCCTTTTATCATTTCCTCTCTTTTTTTAATTTATATGTACATTAGATATTACATTTGAAATATAAATAAATTTAATAAAAATAATATAATAATTATAATTAACGGACTCTCTAAATTTAAAAATAATATAGGCAAATGAGAGTCAAACACCTGACTCTATACAATAAAAAATATAAAATTCTGGAAATAATAAAAATATAATGCATACGGAAAATTTTAAATAGTGATTAATAAGAAGGAAATATATATCATATATGCATCAATAGAAAACAATTAATAATGCATACGATGAAAAAATGTTGATAATATATAGGATAAACATATGTTTATTTAAATGTTATTTGAACAAATAGTCGAAAAATATTTTTTTAATATATAATAAAAATAAATAAATTTATTTATTATCATTTAGTAGTTTTTCAAGAGTATAAATTGATAAAATATATTGACAACTTCTTTTCGTTATATATTAGATACATATAATTGAATATTCAATGAACATTATATCATACATTTTCAACAAAAATAGACTTTATTGATCATTTTAATTAATTTAATCCACAAACGTAGAAGAAAATCTAATGTGACATATTTTATCAATTTATACTGCAGTGTGTGTATATTTGCGTTTTTCATAGTATATGAAAAAATTATAATTTATTTTATATATAATGCAAAACATTTTCGTAAATCCTTTTTTTTATGTTATAATATAATATAGGTGCAAAAACTAAGAATCTTAAAACTACATTATTATTGTTATATATTCAATTTAAAATAACATGTAATTTAGATGAATGCTCCAAGTTTATGTTGAGCGGTAAGTTTTGTCGCGCGCATCTGGACGTTAAAAATAATGCGTTGCGCATGTGCTAATTCTAGTAATCTATATTTATATAGCTATTTCGTACAAATTCTGTTTCAAGTATCCTCAAATAAATCCTTAATAATGACTGTTCTCTATAAAAACAAAATAAAATATGCAAGAATTTTGCTTGATAATAAATCTTGGAAAATGGACACTTCATCCTCTGGAAGATTTCCTGATAGAAAACACTGCATGAGTCATAATCAGTTCACGTGATGTAAATACACGTGATTCAGATTAATTCTAGTCCAACTCTAAGCCAAACTGGCCAAAGGCCATTTTAATAACTCGATGAAATAAACCGTAAATTTCCGAGATCTATATTTATTAATAAAGATTAGGTGAACATTTGCCAAAATAATTGATACCAATTATTCTGATCATCCATGCTCTAAATGTAGTTAAATAAATGTTCAAAGATAACTTACTCTACAATCATTAAAAATTCAGTCCAGCAAATGAAAAAAATCTTAATAATCTTTTTAAAAAGTAGTTCCAAAAAGATTATTCACTAAGAAAAAATATTTATTTTTTCTCAGGACTTTACATTTCAGCGATTTATTGTCAACAAAAGCATACGATTGCCAAAGATTCATAAGAAGAATTATCTGTTTCGCATTATAATTTCAGCTGAAAATATTGCTTTATATTCTCTCTCTAGCTAATTTCCTGCATAAAATAATTTCTTATAGTATTCCCTCGGCCATGTTAATAATAGTTTTAATTTAGAACACTCTCTGGTTTTAAATTTAAAAATTCGGAGATTCTTTGGATGTTGTGTCGCTTTTTATAAACGTATCATTGAATCTTGTGATAAAAGATACGAACAATAGATGAACATATATTGAATACCTACAAATTACTACTCAACAATCACTATTCAACAAAAAATAGAGAACACTTTAAGACACGCTCAAAATTGCGCAATATTCAGAACACTGTAACTTGATAAAAAATTATTGCAGACAAAAAATCAAAAAAGCATTTGAAAGCTTGAAATCTCTACTTTTGAAATCGGTAATTTATATTTCAATCTGATTGATTCTTTGGATTTCTGGAGATATACAGAGACAAATTGATACCCGTCAAATCTGAAAATTTTTTACAAACTTCACGAAGATCTATGGCGTGAGGTAAAATTTCATTTTTCATAAAAATGCGGTTTACGGCAGTCGAAAGAGTTAATCTTTATCTTCAATTTGCTTATTTACTGAGTGATTTTTCTTCGTCGAGTTATTGAACGTTGAAGCAAAAGTGATCATTTTTCAACGTTTAATAACTCAAAGAAAAAAATTAGAACAAGACTAATGAGAGTCTAACGCTGTTGTAAGAGCGAAGAGTTAGGAGATAATACTCAAGTGTTGAAGGTTGTCTTCATTTATTATATCGAAGGTTTCGGCTTACTTTAAAGTTCTCTTCAGTGAAAAAATAAAATATAATATCACGTTGAAAATAATTTATATACCGTATTGATACAGAAATGCAGTAATCAATACGGTATATAAATTATTAACATTTTACTGTTAGTTCAATACTTAAAATCAGTAATAATCGTGTGACTCACCTCAATGGGAAAACAAAGAAGTTCACAAACATCGATTCGCAATTTTCATGAGATATAAATTAACACAAATCGTGTGAAGACAACCTCCAACACTTGAGTATTATTTACATCTCCTCTTCGCTCTTATAACAGCATTAGTCTCTCATTAGCCTTGTTCCATAAATTTCTTGACTCACCAGCAGCCCTTTGTTTTTTTCCAGCAAGATAGAAATGGCTCAAACATAATTTCAACACAATATTCAAAGGAATAAAGAATAAAGAATAAGGAATGACTGATTTTAACTTACTAAAAACCAAATACACCGAAATAATAGTTTTTGATAGGGTAAAATTTGTTTATTTCTCATGGGCATATTCAAGGAGGGGGTTTTGGAGGATTTAACCCCCTTCCCTCCCCGAAATTTTTTATTAATTATTTCATTTTGAGAGAGTTCTGTTAGCACATCCTGATAGCATTCACTTCCACTCACATCGATTGGTGTCTAATAATTTTTCATTACTTTACTAATAAGAATATTTTATTTTGAATTGACAATATACATATACTCTATCGAACTTCTCTCTTTCACTTTTAAATGTAAAAAACATATAACTTTACTTTGTGTGAGTTTTTTTGCTGTAACATAAAATTTTTTTTTCTTCTCATTATAAAAAATTTAAATAATTTTTAATATTTTTGTTAGTTTGAGCTTTGACAAAAAAAATATGCGATATATAGAAAATTTTTGTTTTTATCATGAAAAACAGAATACGCTATAATTGATACTTATAGTACCTGTATTATTCTTTTTTAAAAAGAAGTCTTTAAAATGAGAAATAAAAGTTACATGATATTAAATGTAACATTCTTCCTATTCAAAATGAGATATAAAAAGATATTAAAAGTTGTAAAAATATCCAAATGGAATTCAATAATGTTAAAAATTGTTGTAAATTACAATAACAAAATTGATGCAATCCCTGATAAAAAAATATCTCTGAAAACTTCGTTGAAAATGTCTGAAATCATTTTTCAGAGATTTTTAGTGACATTCAGACGCTTTTTCAAAGAAATTGAGGGATTATCAGAGAATTCTCCAAAAGTCATCTCCAAGTGTCTAAAAGTCTCTGAATTTCGTTGAAACTCGAGAGTTCAATGATGTTTCTGAAAGTAGAATTTTCCTAGTTTCTCATTTTTCAGAGACTTTCAACGAATTATCCGAAAATCATCTCCAAGTGTCTAAATTCTCTGAATTTCGCTGAAACTCGAGAATTCAGT